AGACTACCTCAGAGTTTTTTCTTTAATATAAATGGATTTGACAACATTTCAGATGTAACGAACATCTTAGCAGATACTTTAAGGGTTGGACATTATGCAGTCATTTTTCTGCCAAGCAAATTTCTTCACAATCTGTAAGGCTTATTTGCAATGTGATGTTTTGACATTAAATACTAAAAAAAAAAAAAAAAAAAAAAAAAAAAAAAAAAAAAAAACAAAGGAAAAGCAGCACAACCTTATCCAAAATTTCCTACCAGAATATCTGAAAAGTCCTAGATCTGCCATTTAAATTTTGTCCTGATTTCCACCCTGATATTTAAATCTAAAATATTAACACTTTCTTGGAACATAAATTCACTATGATGAAAAAGAATCTGCACTGATGATAGAAAGAAGAATATCACCTTTATACTCCTTTGCTTAGTTTCTATTCTTTTAAAATCAGAATCTATGCATTTAATAAACCTATGCCTTTTTTTTTTTTTTTTTTTTTGACAGGCACTGAATAGAAGAAATGGGCATAGGTAGGGGAATAGCTTTGAATGAAAAACTGTGTAGATTGTGTGAGTTAGTCAAAATAGATGCAGGTGTGACAGGTTCAGAGCAAAGCTACTTCACAGGAAATGTATAGATGGCAACAAAATGTAAAATGTTTGAAGTGGTTTAAAGTAACAATACCAAATGAGTACACATCAACACAATAAAAGCAGCACTTAAAAGGAAGCTTGCACTTAAGGTAAAACCTGGAAGCAAACAGTGGCTAAAAGCAGAAGGCTGAATGCAACAAAGACTCTCAAAGACTAATTACTTCCATAAGTTTATGCTTTTCAGGACAGGAGTGATGCTTCCCCTTCTCACTAGAGAAAGCAAACATTTCTCAGGCTTTGGGGAGAATCCTAACCACAAACGTACATTTTTAACGTTGTAAACTTCAGTAAAAAATTACAATTTGGTGGTCTCTGCTCAATAAAGCAAGCTATCCCTGCTTCTACCTTGTATTTAGACAAGGGAATTGCACTTCTCTATGGTCTATTCAGCACTAAGTTCTTGCTTTGCAGAAGATGGTAAGGCCTTCAACATAGGAATTGCAGCACTTTTGGCCCAACTCATTCCAGTGACTGCTTTCCCCCTCCCACACAGGCCATATCCCCCAATCCTTCCACCTTTCAAATATGCCTTCATGTAACTTTCCATGTACAGCCATCTAATGAGTGGAATACCACCAAAGTGCACAATCAGGCAAAACACGCTTTGTGTTGTATTGTTTAGTGAACATTAATGATCTCTCAAAGCATCCCAATGAATGTGTATGAGAGATTCCTCCCCCCAATCCTTTTTTTTTTTTTTTTTTTTTTTTGAGACAGAGAGAAAGTGCTTGAGCATGAGAGGGGAAGATGGAGAGGGAGAGAGAGAATCTTAAGCAGGCTTCTTGCTCAGTATGAAGCCCAGCATGGGGCTGGATCTCATGAATTGAGCTGAAATCAAGAGTCGAATTTTTTTTGTTTTGTTTTTTGTTTTAATGTTTTTTATTTATTTCTAGGAGAGAGAGAGAGAGACAGAGTGAGCAGGGGAGGGTCAGAGAAAGAGGGAGTCACAGACTCTGAAACAGGCTCCAGGCTCTGAGCTGGCAGTCAACACAGAGCCCGACGCAGGGCTCAAACCCACGAACCGCGAGATCATGACCCAAGCGAAAGTCGGTCGCTCAACTGACTAAGCCACCCAGGCGCCCCCAAGAGTTGTATGTTTAATAGACTGAGTCACCCAGGCACCTCTTCTTTTCACTTTTTAATAATGATTTGTCCAGGTAAAATCCATGTGTTTAAAATTACAATAATTCATTAACTTATTCTTTTTGGGACTATTAACTCTGGTTTTGACAGGGATTTGAAAATTGCTTTAAAGCGTTATATAGCCCTAGGCGTCCTTGGGGCTTTGCATATGAAACTCCAGTTCTGCACTTTCCCAGCTGGGGAGTCTCAGGGAACCATGTGTATGCCCCAGACACTATGTGGAGTAAACACTCCCCTTCGTTCACCTCTTCTGCTTGCTAAGTCCACCAGAGAATATCCTGATCCAACCACAGGACAAGCCTGGAGGGGCCTGCTTTGGCATGACAGACAATATGAGGGAGAAGTAATCTGGAGAAAAGGTTAAAAAATGTTGAAGTAACTTTTCCTTCCTTCCCACCAAAGGATCTGAGGACTAATGACCTTTAGAGTAATATGAAATTCCAATGCTAGACACCAGTTCATACCTATGTGTACATACCCAGGAAACAGGGTATCTTTTGAGATACAGAAGAAATAAGAAGCCCCAGATGGAAACAGTAAGATCAGAACTGAAGGAACAGTTCCTAGAATCCCTGGAGTTATGAGAAACAGGCCGATCTGGAAACACTCTTGTTGAACAGGCAACAATATTCAGAAAACTTAGCTCCCAACCCTGTCACAGGCCCTCTCTGTCCATTTTTTCCTTCATCCTCAGTTCCACTCCTAACCTCAGAGCTGCTAGTTTGATCCCTTACTTTCTTTGAAAACTTACCCTCTTGGGTCTCTGGCTGCCATCAGTGGTCTGGATCTGTAAATGTCTCCATAACCAATACCCTCCAAAGTGGATAAGAAAGACAAAAAAGGGGTTCTTTTATTTTCTTGGCATCCATGCTGTGAATTTTTAATACACTCTATAATGGAAATGTATGTTCACCTTACTTACAATCCACAAGGTAGTCCATAATTTTTTTAAAAAAAATTTTATAAATTTTTTTTGTTCTGAGAGACAGAGAGAGAGAGAGAGAGAGAGAGAGAGAGAGAATGTGAGCAGGGGAAGGTCAGAGAGAGAGGGAGACACAGAATCTGAAACAGGCTCCAGGCTCTGAGATGGCTGTCAGCACAGAGCCCGATGTGGGGCTCGAATCCACGAACTGTGAGATAATGACCTGAGCCAAAGTCAGGCGCTTAACTGACTGAGCCACCCAGGGGCCCCAAGGTAGTCCATAATTAATGAGCTTCTTTGTAGGCTGGCCGTGGGGTATCTATCACAGAGGATTTAATTTCTCCATGAAAATGGATTTTTGGTAACTTTTTATTTGGGTAAAATGTCAAACTTATGGAAAAGTTACAGGAATAGTCCAAGGAATTCCCCTATAGCTTTTACTCACAATATTTACATTTTTTTCCACTGGTTCTGTGTGTGTGTGTATACCGAGAAAATACTTTTTAAATTTTAATTAACTTACAAACTTAGAACATGAATTATTACTAGATTGGGGTCTGTTTAAAAATTTGATAAAGAAGACGTTTTATTCTATGCTTTTTAATTTCCTTTAATTCCCTTAAGTCTTATTATTTTGCTATAATAAGGGTTCATTCCAAAATTCTATTTTTCTAAGACCTGTGGTCCTTTCCAATAATAGGATTGGTATTTAGTGATTTATAATCAATGTTTCAAGATGTTGAGATACCATTTAGTGAATGATAATCATTTTCATATCTGTAGTAGAAAACTGGGGATGCTAGGAATCAATCAAAGTGACTTTTTATTCCTGAGGTCACCAGTCTAGTGTATCCATGACTCAGCTAATAGATTTAAAGATTGCAAGGTTCATATTTCTCCTGCTTTGAAATTGAGCTCTTTTAAAAATCTAATCTTTATAAAAAACCAAACTCTGTAGATTACTTAGTTCTTCAGAGAGCTTAGGTTAATGCCATTAAAAATAAAATTCCAGCTCCAGAAAAAATGTTTAGGAATTTCCATTATGGAATCACAGCATCATTTTCTTCATCAATACTGACATTCCTTTGGTAAAAATAGCATTCCGAGGAGTGACTGGGTGGCTCAGTCAGTTAAATGTCGGATTTAGGCTCAGATCATGATCTCACCTTCCATGGGTTTGAGCCCTGCGTTGGGCTCTGTGCTGACAACTCAGAGCCTGGAGCCTGCTTCAGATTCTGTGTCTCTCTCTCTCTCTCTGAACCTTCCCCACTTGTGCTTTGTCTCCCTCTGTCTCTCAAAAATAAATAAACGTTAAAAATTTTAAAAATGTATCATTGTGATAATTCAAATAGGATAGGAAAATTCACAGATATGTACTTAATTAGACAGAGAAACTTGATGAGTCTTAGGGCATATGTACCAGTGTCCAGCACAAATATTTAAAAATAAGCTATTAGCAAAAAGAACAAGTCTCCTTTCCCACTTCTGAACTTGAATTTTCTCATTGGAACTTTATATGACTCAACATGGCAATGCAAGATGGCTGATGAAATAGATCCAAATTATTCTATATATGTGTGTGTGTGTGTGTGTGTGTGTGTGTGTAAATGTTTTACTTCTGTACTTCATGGTATATTCCCTGGATTCTTAGTAACTCCCAGTTAAATTAAATCAAAATCATATGATTGCATTTTTATGTTGGCTGTTAGCCTCTTTCATCTTGGATAATACGACATAAAAACGAACTAACAGGAATTAAATTGCTAATATGAATGAAAATAGCCTTTCCCAAAGTGTAGAACAATGTCAAACAAAAGTTAACATTTATTGATATGACACATTATGTTATGGCAGATATTTTTATAAAACAATCTTTGATATTTATAGATGAACTATTTTATACTCATATTGCATCTAACCCATGATTGCTTATTTTCTTAAAAAAAGAAGATGAAACAGTGCAACAGAAAAAAAAATGCTCAACCTATTTTGTTATGTATGCCAACAGTTAAACGAAGAAATGTAATAAAATGCAGAGTTGAAAGGTCCAAAGAGCTAGTGGTATCAAAGACTATCATTTCTATTCATCTTTTTTAAGGCAACACTATCACAAATACACTTTAACAACCAGGGCATTCCACCAGGGCACAGACTGCAGGTGACCCCATCAGTTTGTGCAAGTCAGGTCACTACAATTACCGGATATATGTACAAGGTGCGAATTTGAGTACAGGTAACAAGTGATTTTTATAGTAACAGATATACCCCCTAAATGCCATTTGTGAGTCTTCTTTCCTTTTTTTTTTTTCCTCTGAAGACTTGAAGTATTGAAGTGAATACATTTTTGTCACGTCAAATGGAAGAAAAAGTAGGTGGTGACTTAGTTCCTGAAATTTGAATACTGTTTTTAGTCATCTGCAACCGTAAAGTGCTTTCAGAGATTCCACACATGCTTGTAGGAGTCAAAACCCAAGACTACTAATCGGGTGTATGTTTTGCTAATCTATTCCTGAGGCTTTGCCTAAAAAATTGGCATTGCCATCTTCAACATCTTTCTTCTGGAACCATGGTTTTGAATTTGTTCCTTGTTGATAAGATTCCAGAAAATGACAGATTCCAGGAATTTCACTGGGGAAGTTTGGTGGAAGTTCCTCCCTTGATCGAGGGGTGAACACAAAACCAGGGCAGTCTTTGAGTAATCTGAAAAGATTAAAATAAAAGTGTTAATATTAAAATCTACTACTGATAAAACTGTCTACGCAAGAAAAGACACCCTCCCTAAATGAATATTCCTGGAAATACATATCTCCTTTGACTTATGATGAGTTATCCCTCAATAAATTAAAAATATCATAAACTGAAAATATCATAAGTTGAAAACGCATTTGGTACACATAATTTACGGAACATCATAGCTTAGCCTCGCCTGCCTTAATGTGCTCAGAACACTTATATTAGCCTGCAGTTTGGCAAAATCTTCTAACACACAGCCTGTTTTATAAATAAACATTTAATATTTCATGTAACATATTAAATATTTTACTGAACGCGACAAACAGAATGACCATGAGGGTGCGGAATGGTTTTAAGTGTATGGGTTGTTTATCCCCCTTTCTGCAAATGAGAGAGTATCACGTGGCATATTAGTAACCTGAGAAAAGATCAAAATTTAAAATTCAAACTATGGTTTGTACTAAATGCATGTAGTTTTTGTACATTGTAAAGTTGAGAATTCGTTAAGTTGTATCATTGCAAGCTGAGGACTGTCTGTATTAATAGAGCAGCCATTTTCAGTATGAATGACAGAGAGATCTTAATGATGTTAGCAAACATCTTCACAGAAGAACAATGAAGAATCAATTCACAATAACGAAAATAATTCTACCAAATAATGTATTCACTCCTATTAGGAAAAATACTTATAAAATATTTTTGTAAAGATATAATCAATAACTCATATAACCATTAATTCACAGTACTGGGAGAAAATGCAAAATAATCCAAAAGTCTAATAATAGCAAGAAAACTCCAAGCCCATGTATAAACATAAGATTATAGAATAAAGCTTCCTAAGTTGAAAGAAACAACATTGTCTATTTATCAATTCATTTACAAATGCTACTGAGAAGTAATCAAGGGCAATAAATTATGAAAGAAAAATTCTATGTAAGTTTTATATATATACATATATAACTAATGTGAGAATAGCATTTGAATCTCAATAGAATTTATATGACTTCTAGGTTAGTACGACTAAAAGGAGATTTAATTGTACAAATTGACACTCTTCTTAACTATCTAGTATTTGAAATATTTCTTCTTAAGTTTATCTGTTTACCAAATTTTATTATTTACTACCAACTATGTGTCCAATATGGTTAACTCATTTTATTTCATTTATTTTTAATTTGTTCTAAGGTTTTCATTTATATTCCAGTTAGATAGCATACAATATATATTACAAACATGTTATATTAGTTTCAGGTGTACAGTAGAGTGACTTAACACTTTCATACAATGCCCAGTGCTCATCACAAGCGCCCTCCTAATCCCCATCACCTATTTTTCCCATCCCCCTGCCCACCTCTCCTCCGGTAACCATCAGTTTTCTCTATGGTTAAGAGTCTGTGTCTTTTTTTTTTTTTCTAAAGTTTCTTTATTTTGAAGAGAGAGAGAATATGAATTTGCTGACAACATGGAGCCCAATGAGAGGCTTGATCTCATAAACTATAAGATCATGACCTGAGCTGAAATCAAGAGTTGGATGCTTAACCAACTGAGCCACCCAGGTGCCCCAAGTGTCTGTTTCTTGGCTTTCAGTCCTCCTCTCTCTTTTCTCTGTGCTCATTTGTTTTGTTTCTTCCACATATGAGTTAAATTCATTTTAAATTCCAGTCCTACTGATGAAGTTACTGGCCTATCATTCTACTTGCTTCCCTAGCTTTCTGTCAAATGGAAACTTAATAAGTGTCTTTCTAATCTATTATTCAGGCAATGGATGAAAAATGTTGACAGTTCTGGGCCATAAACCAACTTTTACAGAAAACCACTTTCTATCTCTGCCCAACCAGAGCATGGCCTCCTACTCATCTGTTTGTGATGTCATGTCTGAATGCAATTGAATGATGGTGCTGCATTAGATTTGGTACTGTGACACCGTTCTATGCAATGAAGAAACCAACTGAATAGAAATCCACGTCTCACAAATGACAGACTTCCAAGCAGAAAAGAACATGTGAGTATTCAGTTAGGTCATTTTTGAAAACTCATCAATAAATATGCAATCTGCAAAATAATTAATAAAACGATGTTTTAGTCATGATCCAGACATATTTGAGTGCCTATTATTTATAAGACATGATATTAGGTAACATATAATGAAAAGTTACAGAATTCCATAGTATTAAAAGTATAGGCTTCAAAGTCTGGTAGACCTAGGTTTGAATAGCAGCAAAGGTGTGTGTTTTTTAGCCTGTAAAAAGAAGTTAATAGTACAGGTCTCTTAGGACAGTTGTGAAGATTAAATTAATAGATTAAACCAGATTAGTTAAGCATCAATTAGCTATCACACAACATTCATACTGGTAACATTTGGGGACTATGAACCTTCATATACTGTTGGTCGAATAGAAATCTGTAAGACTGATTTGGACAGCTAACTGATGCTCAGCAAAGCTGAACTGGAGATAGCCTATGATCTGGGAATACCGTCTGTAGGTATATTATAGATGTGCATGGCTTATTCATACTCTAGACTACATATTATATCACACGCACATATAGTGCCATGCTACATCTGGCTCATACTGGCTTATGAGAACCAAGCGTTAAACATTCAGGACTTTTATGAGTCAGTTAAACCATCTGTAACCTGAAACCTGCGATGGTAGGAATAGGTACACAATAGAAATTGGTAAATGCTAAAAAGTTGAGATTTTTTTCACTTTATGCCTCCCCCACCCCCCCCTCAACTCCCCGTGCTGGTTTACCAGCAAACCACTGCATTAGGAATAGTTTAATTAAAGGAACTAGATTTACATTTCATCAAAAAAAAAATCTCAAAAACATAGTATTAAACAGATTCAAGGCAAGTCATGAAAGGATGTAAACAGGTTGAATGGGAAACCGTTTTTCTCTGGTTTTGCTTTTCTACCTGCAGGAACCTAAATGAGAGTTTAGCCTCCTGGCCTCTCTCTGTCCACTTTCTTTCCTGGTAATCAGAAGCGACATGTCTTATTGGTGAGTTTGGAATAAGCTGAACATGCTCTTCTCAGGGCCTTCCTGCCTCTCTGGGAGCCTGGCTGTGTGCAGGAAATCTATGTTCTAGGCTCCTCCTGCCGACCTGAAGGGACACAGAGTCCAGCAAGTCAGACAGTGGGGGTTGGGGCCTAGAATATATATATATTTTTTATTAAACAGGGATCTGAAACAAATATGGCAAACTGTTGACATTTATTAACTATTATTATTGGCCACAAGGGTATCATATTTTCTTTGATTTTTTTTCTGTATGCTCAAAATATTTTAAAAAAATAATTATAAAAGTGCAGGAAACTAAAGGTTTGATAAGTAAAAAATTATAAAATTATAAGTGATTAACAGCTTTCTTTTTTTTTCTGTTCACATCATCCCAACATTTCCTGTTAAATACGGTAATTATAATCATAACTTTATATTAATATAAAGTATTCAGCATTTAGAAGTGGCTTTAAAGTATATCATTAGAAATTATTAAGTGCCTTGCTCAAGATGATGTATCTAGAAAGCTCCGTGTTTGTGACTGTATGGCATGTCTTCTAAATACAAGTTTTATGCTTTTTAAAGAAACTTACAGATGAACACAATTAGAAGGTCATGGAGTTAGAAATGTTCATTAAATCATCTTTAAGAAAAGATCAGAATTTTTAAGGAAAGCAGGTTGGAAAAATAAAACCATTTAAATGAAAGCTTGATGGCGGTGCCTGGGTGGCTCAGTCGGTTGAGTGTCCAACTTGGACTCAAATCATGATCTCACGGTTTGTGAGTTCGAGCCCCGCATCAGGCTCTGTGCTGACAGCTCAGAGTCTGGAGCCTGGAGCCTGCTTCGGATTCTGTGTCTCCCTCACTCTCTCCCCAACTTGTGCTCTGTCTCTGTCTCTCAAAAATAAATAAAGGCAAATTTAAAAAAATTAAAAAATATATATGAAAGCTTGATGGAATTAAGGCCTAAGAAAAGCAGCAAGAGCCTCAAGCAAGTGGTGGAAGTTTTCCTTTATTCTTTCTTGACCAGGTAACAGTTACCCTGAAATGTTACAAGAACTATCCTGTTTTTTGTCATCTCTCTCATACTGTCTTTCTTCTCTTTGTTCTTTCCCCTTATAGAATTTAAGTCCTGTTTCCCTGTTATTAGTTCTCAGATCTCTCTTGCAGATAAGAGTTCCAAAGTCTACTATCCACCTACACTGGGTACTATCCATTTATACCTCCCACCTGCCATTTTGTCTTTAATGATCCCTCATCACCACATGAACCTATCTCTTTAGTCCACTGACCTGAAACTTGGACAATAGCTCACATTTATGCACTTCGGTAAGAGCTAAAAGGAATGTGGAAAACTGTCCCCGAAAATAAACTACTCATGACATTCAGAATAAAGAAATGTGTAATGGTCATCACACAACAACATTCTAAATTACTGGTTAGAACTGGAAGTGAAAGGTAAGGATTTGAGGTTAAGGGTTTTTGTTCATGTGGGTGTGTATTCTGTGTCTCAAATTTGTAAGTCCTTCGTAAATATATCAAGGAAGCTACATCTGATATTATTTTATTTTTTGACAAATGTCACCCCAAAATTCAATGCATTACCAGTGAAGTTCTCCTTAAGAACTAATTAGATTTTATATTTGTACAACTTATTTTCTTTTTAATTTTTTAGAGAGAGAGAGAGAGTGCACGAGTGGAAGAGGGGCAGAGAGAAAGGGAGACACAGAATCAGAAGCAGGATCCAGGCTCAAAGTTGTCAGTACAGAGCCCACAGCGGGGTTCAACCTCACAAACAGTGAGATCATGACCTGAGCTGAAGGTGGAGGTTTAACTGACTGAGCTACCCAGGAGCCCCTGTACAACTTCTAATAGCATCTACTGTTTGTCCCTAACTTTGGTGGAACTGAAATTATATCTCTGTTTTACAATCCAATTGTTAAATTTCCCAAAGCATGGACTTTTGATTGAAATTTAAATTAGCTACTTTCTTTTTAAGTTTTTCTATCATTTGGGAAGAAAATAAACTATTTTTAAAAGAAAGCATTTTAAAATGTCATCAAAGCTATTTCACATTAAATATTTATTTCTTGCCAACACAAAGCACTTTAACTACTGCTTGCCCTTTACGTAAGACATAAATATTCCCTATGTGAGAGTGACAGGTAAATTGAAAAAGGAAAAATAGGGGCACGTGCACCCTAATGTTTATAGCAGCACTTTCAACAATAGCCAAATTATAGAAAGAGCCCAAATGTCCATTGACTGATGAATGGATCAAGAAGATGTGGTATATACATACAATGGAATATTACTCAGCCATCAAAAAGAAGGAAATCTTGCCATTTGCAACAATAGGGATGGAACTAGAGTGTATTATGCTAACTGAAATAAGTCAGTTAGAGGAAGACAAATAGTACATCATTTCACTCATATGTGGAATTTAAGAAAAAAAAGAAAAAAAAAACAGATACATATAGGGGAAGGGAAAGGAAAATAAAATAAGATAAAACAGAGAGGGAAGCAAACCATAAGAGACTCTTTAACTATAGAGAACAAACTGAGGGTTGCTGGAAGGGAGGTGGGCAGGGGATGGGCTAAATGGGTGATGGGTATTAAGGGGGTGCACTTCTGGAGCACCTGAGTGACTCAGTTAAGCATCTGGCTCTAGGTTTCAGCTCAGGTCATGATCTCCCAGGTTTGTAAATTTGAGCCCTGCATTGGGCTGTGCACTTGCAATGTAGAGCCTGCTTGGGATTCTTTCTCTCTCTTTCCCTCTCTCTCTGCCCCTCCCCTACTCACGGGGTCTCTGTCTCTCTCAAAAAATAAATAAATAAACCTAAAAAAAAAAGGGAGGGGAGCACTTGTGATCAACACTGGGTGTTATAGTAAGTGATAAATCATTAAATTCTACTCCTGAAACTGATATTACACTATACACGAACTAGAATTTAAATAAAAACTTGAAACAAAAAAAGGATAAAAACTATACCATGTTTGCTTATAAAAGATAGAAATAAATACAGCAAAGGCATTTATGCTCAGTATTGACTAAATTTTCATTATAGTTTATATATGTGCATATAAATACATACTAAGAAGTAATAAAAAAACATAAAATGTGAATAGTTATTGTCTCTGGATAGTGAAATTATGAGTTATTTTTATTTACTTATAACTTTCTGATAGCAAATATGAATTTTCTAAAATAAGCATATATTACTATTATCATAAAAACACTTTATTGAAAAAAAAAGTAATACTGTGGTGTAAAATCCTGTTTTTGCACATCTAGTAAGTCTAGTAACATAGGCAACATGGCAACTCTAAGGCCTTGTCCTGGTGCCGGAAATGTGTATCAAAGTGTCATGATCCTCTGTTGGAAGAGAAGAGAACCGATATTACACTTTGGAAGTGAAATGAGGAGCTGATAGCAATGTTTCCCATCAAGATTCAAGACAACCAGACTTTCAGATATGAAACAAAGGAAGATTTTCTTTTATACTGCTTTAAAACAATTAAAATAAAAAAAAGAGAAAGTATACTTTTTCTATGCAGAGGTTTGGTTTTAAGGATAGATATATACACACACGGACTTCTCGAGGTAAACACGCACATATATGACATTACTGAACACTCAACAGTAGTGACTGGACTAGCAACTACTCTTAGGTTATCACCGGATTCCTGCTCTCAAATCCTGCAAAGAGAGCAGAGTCAAATCCTGAAGACAGGAGTTCTCCTCCCTTCCTGGCATATCCAGAAGTCTACAGGTCTATTACCATCACAATAATCCCCAGGGAGTTTTCCAATCTCATGGATAGTGATCATTTTCAAATCAAAGAGTGGACCTTCAATCAGTAAATACTTTCAGCTTTCCTACTGTGTTCTAGGCATTGATCTGGGAACTAGAGATGGAAATTGCTACCACTGGAAGCTCACACTCTCCAAGGGGAGGAAGGCAGTAAACACATAAAGAAAACACCATTTCAGACACAGATACGAACTGAGAAGGTGAAAAAAATAAAGTAATGTGAGGTGTGTGAGGCGAAAGTTGTTCCTCTAGGTATGACAGTTAAGGAGTGTCTTTTGTTTTTGAGAGAGAGCGTGTACATCAGCAGTGGAGGAGCAGAGAGAAAGAGAATCATAAACTGGCTCCACACTCACCACAAAGCCCAACGTGATGCAGGAAAGAAGTGGAAAGCAGAGGAATAGCCAGTATCTTCGATTCAGGAAAGGGTTTAGAAAGTCTGATGAACACAAGTAAGGCCAGGGTGGCAGAGTATCAGAGAGCGATGGAGAAAATGGAAGAAAATAAAGTGACACAGGCTGGCAGGATATTGATCAAAGAGGACATTTTAGTCTCTGGTAACAAATTTAAATTTTATACTGGCTGCAATGGGAGGCCATTCCTGTTTTTATCACGGGAATGATGATATCTGACTTGTACTTCAGAAAGACAATCTGGCCACTGTGTGGAGGATGAACTGTGGGCAGGAGGTGAGCAAGAAAGCAAGCAGAGAATGAGGAAGATCCTGTTGGCTGAGGTGGAACAGATGAAGGAGGCTTGCCTTGGGGTGTAGTACTGAAGGAAGTAAAAATAAAGATGTATTCAGGATATTTAATTGTAGGAGGGAGTGGTAAGCTGTAAGAGGGAGAAAGCAACGCTCACTCTGAGATTTATAGGCTAGGCAACGCAATAGAAGGTGATGCCATTTTAAGGAGACTGATAAAGCTAGGCTGGGTGGGAAGCGGGTTATATCATATTGTAGTGTGTGGGAAATCACTCGTTCTAAGACTATCATGTTAATATTAGTATGTCAACTAGTCATCCAAGTAGAAATACAGAATATGATACACAAGCGTGTAGCTCACTGGACAATTGTGGGATGGGCTAGAGATGAGAGAAAAGGCGAGTCAGTAAAGTTCAGACAAAGAAGAGGATAGGGACAGAGGTCTGGGCACCGCAACATTCGAAAGGGAATGAGTACCCGCACCAGACACTGAGAAGGCATAGCCATGCGGTAGGTACTAAGGAAACGGGTTAAGTGTGGTGTCATGAAAGCAGAAGAAAGAAAATGTTTAAAGGAGGGAGTTCTCAAGCCCTTCAGTTGCCAGAGATGTTGAGGAAGATAAGGGGACAGACTAAGCATGATTTTAGCAAGGAACACTGACGGCCCTGATAAGACCCATTTCAGTGGGTGCAAGGGACAAACACTGATGAGAGTGAGTCAGAGGGCGAACAGGAGGTAAAAGAAAGTAGAGACAGTGAACACAGACAACTCCTGCAAGGAGTTTTGCTGGGAAAAGGGGCAGAAATAAATACAGGGGAATAGCTGAGATACACCAGGAAACAAGGAAGAAACTGTTTTAAGAGTTTTAATAGTAAGAGATGTCTGTATTCTGACGGGAATAATCGTTTCACTAGAGAACTTAATCACAGAAAGAAAGCAGGTATTTTTAGGAGGTAAGTTCTGGAGAAGGTGAGGGGCAGCAGCACTCAGAGCAAACCTGGAGGGAATCATCTGGAAAAGGAGCCAGGCAGCTGGGACATGGTCACCGGAATGAAAGGCTTAGACCAGGGCACCGGGGTAGCTAGGCTGATGGTATCTGCCCGGGAAGGTGGTGTAGTGCCTACCTGACTGCATTTTTTTTCTTTTCCTGTGAAATATGAAGTGAAGTTGTCAACTTAGAATTAAGGCTGTCAAGGAAAGGTTGTGGAGTTTTAAGGAGAAAGAAGATGATATAAAGTATTTGTCTCTGAGAATAGAAAAGATAACTTGCTTGGTGTAGTCAGTTTGAGAAGTCACCTGCCGCACATATCTCAAAAGCGTTTTGCTATTCAATCACTTTCATTATGACTGAGTTCTTAAAATGAGATGAAACGTATCCATCCATGTCTGGCACCTGAATTAAGGATATGTTGAGGACCATGACCTATAATATGTGGAGACCATGCTAACTCTGGGTAGCTAGTGCCAGGATTGTACTGGCCAGATTAGCCATCAAAGCATGGAGAGCATCAACACGTGCTTTGAAAAGAATCGTGGGGAAGAGTAGGATGTGTATCAAGGATTACAGCTGGGCTACAAATATCTCGGGAGAGTTGTTCTCATGATGCTAATGAGTAATTTTAGAAAAAGTGAGGATGATTAAGGTATGGCTTTCCTTTTCTTTGCAAGATTACCTAAGCAGGAAAATATTATGGAGGATGAAAGAAACCAATGGGAAAAATATGGCAACTGTATATCAATAAAAATAATAGGCATTCAATGCAAAGAGTACCTGTACGTTGTGGGGCTGACATTGATCTTCCGAGGTACACTGCAGGACTCAAATTTGTTCGCCAAGGTGACGTTGTTTCCAAAAAGACAGTAACGGGGCATTTTAACGCCAACGACTCCAGCAAAAACTGATCCAGAATGCAGTCCAATCCGCATCTGAAACCAAAAAGTAACACAGGGTCCTCATCATCGGTAAAACATTTCCTGCCAGTCAGTATTGTACAAATGCTGCTTATTTATTTATTGTTTTAAATATTTATTTATCTCGAGAGAGAGAGAACACATGAGCACTCAGGGCAGGGGCAGAGAGAGAGGGAGAGAGAGAGAATCCAAAGCAGGCTTCTTGCTGTCAGCACAGAGCCCGATGTGGGGCTCGATCTCATAAACTCATGAGATTATAACCTGAGTGAAAATCAAGAGTCAGACACTCAACTCCACTGACTGAGCCACCCAGGGGCCCCAAATGCTGTTTAAATTATGTTGCCATTTGCTGTCACTACACCATTCCTCCCCTCTGCAAAACCTCCTGCCAACTTCCTTCTATTGGTATCCAATTACTAGTTCAGGGGTCCCTGGGTGGCTCAGTCAGTTAAGCAGCCAACTCTTGATTTCCGTTCAGGTCAGGATCTCAAGGTTCTTGAGTTTGAGCCCCACATCTGGCTCTGCACTCACAGTGTGGGGCCTGCTTCAGATCCTCTCTCTGCCCCTCCCCAATCTCCCCCTCTCTCTTTCTCTTTCTTAAAAATAAATAAACGTTAAAAAAAGTAAAAAAATAAATTACTAGTGCAAAATCAATCACACTTCTTAAATCACCTCCATTAAGCACTTATGTCTAAATAAAGCATCTTTCACCTGCCTTCGATGTCTGACACACATTTCCATGCATACCTGTCACAGTCCTCAGAGTGACAAGACAAATGTCTACGGGTAGTTTACGTGAACCTGCTCTGTCCATCAAGTGAGACAGACAGAATTTCTGGACTCCAGGTGTTGTTTCACAACGCGCTGTCAGAGAAGGGCGAGAGAAGCCAGCTCTTACAATAGAAAGAATAAAAAGATCTTTATGACAAACACTATCCCACTGTTCCAACGACTAACATGAAAGAAGAAAGGCATTTGAATGTTTCCATAGAAAATGACAGAGGAAACAGAGTGGGAGCTGATTAGGCTCGTATCACAGTGACTTGATCACAGATAAGAAGTTTCTGCTCCTTTGGGGCACTTTTCTGGTTAAATCAGTTTCTCTCTATATACTTAGTTATTCTACCTTTTTCTTTAAAAAATTTTGTTGAAGATTTTATTTAAATCCAAGCCAATTAACATATAATGTAGTAATGATTTTAGGAGTAGAATGTAGTGATTCAACACTTATGATAACATCCACTGCTCATTCCAGTAAGTGTCCTTCTTAATGCCCATCACCCATTTAGCGCATACCCCCAAACAACACCCCTCTAGCAACCCTCAATTTGTTCTCTGTATTTAAGAATCTCTTATGGTTGGCCTCCCTCTCTGTTTTTATCTTATTTTTCCTTCTTTTCCCCTATGTTCATTTGCTTTGTTTCTTAAATTCCACATATGAATGAAATCATGTATTTATCTTTCTCTGACTGACTAATTTCACTTAGCATAATTCATTTTAGTTCTATCCATGTTGTTACAAATGGCAAGATTTCATTCTTTTCTTGTGGCTGAGTAATATTCCATTGTATATGTATAACACATCTTCTTTATCCATTCATCAGTCAATGGACACTTGGGCTCTTTCCATACTTTGGCTATTGTTGATAGCGCTGCTGTAAACATTGGGGTGCATGTGCCCCTTCGAAACAGCACTTCTGTATCCTTTGCATAAACACCTAGCTCCTCCTATGCTGTGCTCCCTCTCCCACTCTCCTTCTCCAGTTCTGAATTTCACTCTTAACTCCACAGCTTTCTTACCAGGGAACTTTCCAAATTCACAAGCAGATTTACAAATTCATTTCAAATTCACAAGAGAATGATCCAAAATTTACGATGCATATCAAGTCCTGAACGGAAACCTGTTGGGAACGTCTTCCATTTGGGAACCACTTTTGATGCAGCCCATGTCCCATCATGGACGTCTGGGAACAGGCGTCTGTTTCCATGTTCACTTTGCACTTACTGACTTTCCCTGCCACATTGAGCTCTCTGGTTTCTATCAACACTCCACCTGCAGTTTTCAAAGCCAGAGTAGGTGGATGTGAGTAAGGAAATCAGTAGTGATAGATGACTTATACACATGGCATGTTGGAGAAACACACAGAGCTTGCGGGGGAAAAAAAGGAAATATTTCCTATTCTTTCACTCTGATTCCATTCCATGGGGTGGCAGGATAAGCAGGAGTAAAGGGCTGGGCTCAGACATGTGGCTTCTATTACGAAGAGCACCAAGACTTTGCTTCTATTACAGATTTGTAGTTTGCATTTTTTCTTTCTTTTCTCTGTATTTTTATAGCATGCCAGATAGGATTCTATATTACTTCAAGGGCCCATTTCTGAAGGTCATCAATTAAGGACCATCCTATAAAAATTAAGTGGCCGATTCACTATAAGTAGGACAAATAAAGGTAATCCTCTTGTGTTCTATTAAACCAATGCCTAGCATGGTAATTTTATGGTCTCAGTGGCATTAAGACATTATTCTGAGATAATCTAGAAATTTTAGAGTATTATGTGCTTTGGAAAATATGGGTGGATTAGCAGTCGATTTTCATTGTAGTGTAATGGCCTCCCCTGCAGGGACTGGAAAACTAAAAATTACATTTTCCAAACTCCCTTGCATTTTCAAGGTGCACTGAGGTTTGGTGGATCACATATACTTGCAAAGGGTTTGGAAGCCAGAATTTCTGGCGTGACTGCTTCCAAGTGTCAGCACAACCGTGGACGTCTTCAGGTTTTCTATGTCATGCGTAGCAGAGAGCCCCATATCCAGTTACTCATTCTGTGAGGGTCATGATGCAAGATTTCCATGTTACCGACTCCAATTATAATAAGTGCAGTTTTGTTCTACGGCCAGTGATAGAGGCAGCAGCTTTCTGAACACAGCAGTTTCCTGACTGTGGCTGTGGTGGTATGGTGTTGGGAGTCAGCTTCTCGACCTTGGAAAAAACAATGGTTTCTGAAGTGCTGCTTTGGGAGCCGTTTTGTGAAGATTTAGTTTATCGATGGAATGTTTAGTCCTCTCGATAAGCCACTCGATAAGCCACTCGATACCCCATAGTACATTCCTTCCCGCTTCCACAAGTTAGAGATCTTGCTCTCTGCAATTAAACCCTGAGGGATGCACTATTCTTTTGATAACTAATAAGCATTTACTCTCCGTGACATTTCCTGGACAATATGCATCTGTCTTACCTTGATAGGTTCTCCATGGGGAGACATAACTTCATCAGAGAGCTCCATCATCTTCAGGGCCATCAGTGCAATCTGAACTGCATGGGTATCACTTTCTTTGTGTAATCCCCCAGCCACACAATATGCATCGCCAATGGTCTCCACCTACACAGAACAGATATTCCATATTACAAATACAAGTTCAGAAAGAATTCTAGTGCACATCAGAGAGTGGAAAGTCTCAGTGTTCAGGCCCTATAGAAAATGAGAGAAAATCAGATATGCTCAGATATGGCTTTCCTTTTCAGGAAATTCATAAAGTTTAGACGCCTTATCAGGCGCTGCTTTGAAAGGCAGTGGGGTCCGGTGAGCACAACGTTGGGAGGTGGTTTCTACTTCCAGACTTGCTGCTGACTCAGCACATCATTCCACCTTTTTCTCCCTCTACCACGTAAAATGGCTCTTTAGAGGCAAATGATGTTATGTAAATGATATTTTGGGTTTATAACAAATTGTTTGAAGAGAATTGGAATCAATTGCTGATTTTATACCCTTTTAGGCTACAGTATTTTGAACAGTCACTACTCAATCAATGTCATATGAATTTAGTAAGAACGTGAGACATAAAACTAAGATATTCTAGTTTTTCAAAAGGATTTGGGGGTTCTCATAGCAACTCTAAGTGTCTACATGAATATTAATCACAAAGTATAGACACCAAGAAAGACGTCAAATAATGGAGCTCGGAAGGCTACTGAAAATCAATCTGTTATATAAATTCCAAGTATTATCATTGTCATTGCTGTTGTTGTAAGAAGTGATTTTTATCTGTCTGTGATGCTGATGACAAAGCTACCAGTTAATTTAAATCTACAAATAATCCACCCAATTGTAATCATTGCATTTTCTCCTCTAAATATTTATGGTAACTTAGCAGATCATATCATTCTTCTTCTCCAAACCCTCCAGTGTGGAGGGGTGGAGATGAGAAAGGAAAGTAGAAAGAGAAACAAACTTTAGGTGGTTCTCCATCTCACTCAGAATAAATTTTGAAGCTCTTATAATGCCTCAGCGTATCCCTCAAACATATCAAACATGTTCCCACTTGCTACCCCTTTGCCTGGAACAATCTCCTGCAGATACTTGCTTGGCATGTCCCTCATTTCCTTCAGGGCCCACTAAGCCATCACCATATGAGAAATGCCTGTCCAAATCGCCTTCTATAAAATAACAATCACCCCTTGTCTTCTGCACTTCTCCCCCCTTAACTTTATCCAGAATATTACACCAATTGGAATACTATGAAATATACTCATTTGTTTATTTTCTGTCATTCCCCCTATAGAATATTAGCTCTCTGAGTTCGTCTGTTTTATTAACTCCTGAATTACCAGTACCCAGTTTAAGGAATGAACCAGGTGGTGGTGACTCTTAAAAGAATTTCTTCCATGAATACATAAGAAGTGCTGAAAATAATGTCTAACATATCTCCGGTGCCCAATAAGTGTCACTAATCAGAAGAAGTGGTGTCCTCACTCCATGGTGTTCAGTGCCTACTTCTCTATGCTATTATAGCACCTCGTCCCCATGTGTTCAGAGTCGGGCATTCACCAGGTCATAGAGATCTGGCATTAGTCAGCTCCACCCTCCTTTCCTGCTTCCACATGTGAGATGTTCTCACTCGTGCTGGCCAATGCTGAATGACAGTAATTATTTGCTAAAACAACCAATACACGAACGCCGAATCAATGGAAAAATGGACAAAAGACAAAGACAGTAACACAACGAAATGAAATAAAGTCCTGAAACAAACAGGTCCCGGAAAAGAAAAGTTTAACTATTCCTTGGAAGCCATCACACTCACAGGTGAGTATATGAGGAGACATTCTGTATATCTTACATTTATCTCATGGTTAAGACCCTTCCTGATGTATTCACAGCTGTCTTGAGATATTTTCATGCAAAATCAGAAGCGAAGAGAAGGTGGAAATAAGGGCAGAGAAGATGATTCACTATCTAGCTGGGGTTGTGGCTGGATTAACCAGGGAAATCTGTGGCTACTATCCAAGTAGCAAGGAACACAGACTGTGAAAACTTGGTTGGAATAACCACATTGTTTCAGTTTCAAGGATTCGAAATTTGTAGAAAAGGGCTGCTGCTTCTGCAAGTAATCACAGCAGTTGCAAAGGAGACCAAGAATTTCTTCTCACAGTTCCTAGAGGAGACAATGTCAAGATAGAAACTATCTACAAACAGATATAGTCAATTCCACAAGAGGCTGTCAAGCTTAACCTAACTGAAGCCAATTATTTTATCTGTAATTATACATGGACCTCTTTTTTTCCCAAGGGAATCATGGCTCAGTCTGGAATTTCCTGCTAGATATTTTAGAAAGGAAGGCTTGACTTCTTGCATCTAGATTGGAACAAAGCAGAAGCTTATATATTCCACAAATAGTATTTGTTTTGTCTTCAATAATGTATTTATTTCATTTTGGGCAAAGCTCTGAAATGCCAGGTTGTTACAAGGAAAGCTAAAAGGTGAGTCAAGCCACACAAAGGAGAAGGAGGCTTTATTCTTAATGACAACGGCTAAAATAATGCCAAATACTTTAAATGAGTAAAAACGTGTTTTAATTCTAAAACCACGGAACAAAAAAATCACTTTATTAGTTCTTGTATTGCTAATAAAGTTACATTTTAAAAAGTTTATTACACACCGGGGATAATTAATGTGCTTCCCCGTGCCTAGAATGATGCGTGGTAGCACTCAAGAAATGCTGATGCATCACGAATAATGGATGTTATTTTCCATAATCTTTGTAACAATCTTGTTTATGAAGATTGTGGGACACAATGTATGTTATTCAGGCATATAAACTGTAGGTGGATATCACTTTCTCTGCTTTAGAAATGAGAAAGGCTACTTAACTTTCTCAGCTTACAAAGTAAGTAGAGAATGTGATTTGAAGACAGCCTTTCTTCTTCAGAGACATCTCTAACCTTGGTCCCGTCAATAATGTCTTAAATAGGGTTTTGTTTCCCCCTCTTAATCAGCCATGCAAACTATCATGTTAATTCAATACTGAGTGGGGTGACTGGGTGGCTTAGTAGGTTAAGCGTCCGACTTTCGCTTAAGTCATGATCTCGCGGTTCATGGGTTCGAGCCCCGCGTCGGGCTCTGTGCTGACTGCCAGCTCAGAGCCTGGAGCCTGTTTCAGAGTCTGTCACTCCCTCTCTCTCTGACCCTCGCCTGCTCAAGCTGTCTCTCTCTCTCTCTCTCCTAGAAATAAATAAAGCATTAAAAAAAATCGATACTGAGTTAATCTATTTATTTTTTAAAGTTTATTGATTTATTTTGAGAAAGAAAATGAGACGGCGGGGGGGAAGCAAGAGAGAGAGGTAGAGAGAGAATCCCAAGCAGGCTCCAGGCTGTCAGTGCAGAGTCTGATGTGGGGTGAGTTAATCTATTTAAAGATCATAAAATGCTCATGTTTCTTTTATACTTTTACTTTCACAAAGGAGAAATCTTCCCCATACAAGTCATCCTTAAGAATTGTCTCTAATAACTCAGTTGCCACAGTCTAGTCTCAGGTTCACTGATTCTTAAACTGAACCTGTTCATGGGTCCTACACCCCCTCCTCCACTCAATCACCCGTACATTCTATGCGTATTCTTTGAGAAGACAATGTGTCAGTCCTTTTGTGGAATAATTCTCTCTGTTTCTGAGCGGACTCAAGAGCTATTTCTGGCTAGAGAACACCCACATGATTGATGCACAATGCCTGCTCCCAGGATGTGGCTTGGGTGGCCCTGCAGAGAAAACCTTTCCTCTGCCTTGTAATTCAAGTCCCGGTGGCGGCGGAGCTTTCTTCCAGTGACTTTGGCCTAAACAATGGGCCTCGCCCTCCTCCGGACGTCCCTACCTTGTAGACATCCAGCTCCCCGCACTGGCGGTCAAAACGAGTGTAGAGTGCATTGAGCATGGTGATGACCTGCAGCGGCGAGCACCGGGAGCAGATGGCAGTGAACCCAACGATGTCTGAGAAAAGCATGGTGACGTTACTGAACTTCTTGGCTTGCACTACTTGCCCTTGCCACAGCTGCTGTGCAACCTCGCATGGAAATATGGAGCACAGGAGATCCACTGTCTTCTTCTTCTCCTCCTCCAGGGCTTGGTGGGCTTGCTCCAGGGTGGCCTTCAGCTTGCCCAGCCTCTTCTTCAGGCCGTCCTGCGCTCGGGCCTGCTCCCCTATCAACACTACATCCCTCAGTGCATTGTGAATCGGGATGTCTGAGAGGTAGAGCCCTCGCCCCGTAAAATCTTCTAATCGGTCCACGCAGGGGGAGCCCAAGAACAAGATTGCACTGGATTCGACAATGTAGATCATCTGGCCTTTGAGGTCCATAACCTGTGAAGCAAATTATGCATGTTTCAAAGTGATATGCATCATAAGGCTGACTGTTGGCTTTACTTATGTACCCTCAGCTACGATTTTGCAAACTCTTTCCTTAGACTAACCGATTACCAAAGTTCTCTTACCACGAGAACAATCCCCCCAACATTCTTTAACAATTAAAAGTTATTGATTCTCCGCGTCCATTAAATATTGATTAAAAAATCCATTTAGTCATCTCCCAATATAAACAAGTAGTTTTTATTTGTTGTAGAATAATGCCTCTTTTTAAAAATTGTTTAATGTTTTATTTCTTTTTTAGGGAAAGACAGACAGCACAAGCAGGGGAGGGACAGAGAGAGAGGGAGACACAGAATCTGAAGCAGGCTCCAGGCTCTGAGCTGTCAGCACAGAGCCCTACCCGGGGCTCCAACTCACGAACCGCGAGATCATGACCTGAGCTGAAGTTGGACTCTTAACCGACTGAGCCACCCAGGCACCACAAATAATGCCTCTTATTAGTCAAAATTGTCAGCTACTTGATGATGACTGAAAACATATTTCTACATAAATATTTATCTAATCCGGTTTATAAAATACTCCAAAAGGATTTTAAAAGGTACACTGCATTCAACAAATATCTGTGAACTAATGAATCAAGTAAGCAAGCGAGTGCAAAAAAGGACTTTGATTTAAATTTATCTCAGTCTTAAAATTATGTCACACTCATCTTAAACATAAATGTTTTATCGATACAGGTGAAGTGATGTATATCTTTTTACCTTTTTGCTTCTGTCCTTAAACAAGAAATGACTTATTTCGTATTCAAAACACGACTCCGTTCTCCTTACCCTTGAAGATTTCTTCACAGAGTTGTCCCACCTCCTCACTCGGACCACAAACTGCATGTTCAACATGGTTAGGATTGCACTAAAGGTTTGCTTGATTTTTGGAGTCAGAATTTCAAAGTACTCTTCAAAATTAGGCTTTCCTTGAAAGTCTCTCCTGTTCATCAGCCTTCTAATGCCATTGCCGAATTGCAAAATTGTCATGTCTTTGTCAAACATGAAATGAAAAGGAAAAGTCTTGCAGAAGAGGGAAGCAGGAATCACCAGCGAGGACTGGGGTTTGCCGGGGGACAGGGATGGCTTGGTGCTTTTGACATGAAGCGAGTATAACAAATAGGGCTGATTAACGAACTCACTGCCATCAGTACGGAAGCAGGGAGGCATCAGTGACACATCCACTTCGGTTTCGTACAATATGTGAGCAGCTGCCTTAATGATGCCAGGAAGAATCAAGGACGTGATTCACTTAGGGAAAAAATAGTAAACATTTAAGAAATTGTGATCTTTATCCAGGCATAGAATGGAAGCATCCTCGAACCTGCCTCTCTTTTCTGCTTCTTGGCAGTAGCTGCTCTGTTTCAGAAGAGTGCTGAAGCTATTTAAAAAATCTTTGAGGGTTCCTCCAACCACACCTAAGATGTGTTCATCTTCCTCATAACATATTTTAAAAAGCTCTTCACCGAGAGATTCTTTGATGATTTCTGCTGGAACTCCTGGAAGTAAAGAATACATTTTTTGGCCATATCAAACATACCTCTTGGAAGAGCTGTACCTTTACTACTATTTTTAACATTGTTTGATTTGATGATTTAGTTCCCTTTAAATCTGGTAATAAGATTTCCAACCGAAATTAACCACCTGTGTTCAAATTACCTGCATGGATTAATTTCCAAAATCCTGCTAGCTCCAAATAAAATCTTCCCAATCAGTTAATTATAAAAGAATGATCAGTAAAGTCTAATACATAATTTTAATCTCACTTAAGAGCTGGTTCTTACAAAAGAACAATCAGAATGTATTCAAGTTCATTTCAGAACAAGTTCCCCCACCTTTCTGTTAATGGCAATAACAGTATATCTTGATGAAGGGGATACTGTACCACTTGCAGGGCCCCCAGCAGTATGAACGTCAGACAAGAGCTTAAAATCACTGCTCGTGAAACTCAATTTGTCATTTCATTCTAGAGACGGTATATATATATATATATTTTTTTTTTTTCTTTTTTTAGTAAAACAGCATTCTTGTTTAATGTTATCTGAAAGAATATTTGTTTGGAATATATTTACTTCCTGTAACTTCTCCTTTCCTAATCTCTTGTTTTTTAAATTCCTGTGTATCATCTTTTTTTTTTCTCATTTGTAATTTGGAAAGACAATAATGCCCTTTCACAGCACTGTTGTGATGTGTGGGGACTCTGTTTAGAATAGTGCTTGGCTCTCAGGAAGGGCTTAGTATGTTTGCCATCATCATCATCATTGTTGTCATTAAATTCTTAATATCTTATACTTTTGGAAAGATTTAACTGTTACTCCATGTACTTCAGTTTTGAAAAGGACAGTAGGACAAAGTCACTCATCTACTTGTTTCCCTCAAACTCATTAATATGAGAACTCTGTAAATCCTTTTTCTCATGTTTGCTTCCAACCTTTAAAAAAAACAACCTCTTAATTTTAGTTTGTTGAGTAAAATTTTTCATGCATAAGTGAAGAATACTTAGTTTAAGTTCAAGGACAAAGCATGTAAATGTCTATGAGTCAGCTTCCCATGCAGCCTTATCTCCTCAGCAAAAACGTATAAAGGAGGGGAAACATTTTAGGTCAAACAAAAATACATAATTATTCTTTATGTTATCACAATCCATAATACTGAACACTTCATACTGGAAATCACCTTTAAGGAGAAAACATTAGTTCTACAGGTAAGTATTTTCTACTAGGAGAAGATATTAGTTTATAGGTAAAATATTATTTCTGTAAGTATAATTACTCCTTCATTACATATACTGAAACAGTTCTATTACCTGCTGCAACTGCTTGGTCTGTAATTATTTTTTCAAAGTCTTCTCTTTCCAAAGATTTCCTGAAAATATATCAACATCTTAAATTATAAACTGACAAATGGATGCTCCAACTTCAGATCATAACATACAGACATGACGACCTTTTCTGTAGAGTTAAATCATGACTACTGAGTTTACAGGAAAGGAGCCAACCCAAAACAATGTTGGAAAACCCCAAACTATACCTGATTTGGAGTGTTTCACCATTTTCGGAAGCATATTTACCTTTTAAGTTAACTTTACCTAGGCTAATACAGTGGGTGATTACACTGTGAGTGAACCAACCTGAAGTATGAAATGGCCAAGTAGGGGATGGTAATAAGTCAGCCTAGGGGGTCTTCTGATAACACAACTAAAAAGAAAAATTTACATACTGATGAATCATTATCTTTTTAAGTACCGCTATCTTTTTTCTAAAGCCATGTCTTGCTTCTGAGTTTAAGGTTCTATATATTTAACTCTCAGGCATTTTTACATTTAACTATCCACATATAAAAATTAGTAAAAAGAAATCTATTCTTTATTCAGTTGCTTCACTCAGTTTTACGGCATAGAGGTTGATAATATCATAGCATACATTTTGACTGATAAAAAGTTTTGGTAACTTCAACCGAATAACATTGATTTATGTTTACCTAATTGCTTTTTATGATTTCTGATAGTGACTGATTTCTGACCAAGTTGGCCAAACTACTAACAAATTTTAAAAGATACCCAAAGTTCTATTTGTAGTTAAATTTGCCATTAGATAAGCCAAGTTTACAGACAGGCAAAAATCTAAATATTAGACAGATTTCAATAAAACACAAAATATGCAGAGAAGTTTCAAAAGGAAATATTTTCAAGAAGGAAAACTGCTCAGTCCACTACTTTACCACACAAAGGTATGTTGCTTTTAATTGTTTAAAATGCTATGTACAAATACTTTCTTCTCTAAATTGGTTGAGGATCACTATATAATTTTCTATTTAGTTTATATAATTTTATAATTATTTGTTATGTATTCTTTTATATTAATCACTCTTCAGATTTGCTTATTTTTCTCATTCAAACAATTTCTGTTTGTGTTTTTTTCTTTTTCCTAAAGAATGAGAGCATTTCTGCTCAAGGGACTCTAATTCTGCCAATTCCCAGCATCCATGATATGCGATGTGAGCAAAACTTAAGTCAAACAGCACATAATGCAATTAAAAATAAGTTCGCGATCTTTAACTTAAAAAAAAAGGAGTAAGCTTGCATATATACCAGCAAATGCATATGTATAAACACACACACACACTCTCTCTCTCTCACACACACACACACACACACACACACACACACACACACACCCCAGCCATACACAGATATGATGATGTCATCAAAAGATCCCAGGGAAAGAAACTAAGCAAAAGCTCTCTGAAACCAACCGAGGGAGATATTACAATGACTGTACTAAAAGTCATTTACTTAAAAGGTGGGGGACAAGGAGGTCCAATTTTTTATTTAGAGACAGTTTATTGTTTAATATATTGATTCTTTGCTTTTCAAATCATATAAGATAATGAACAGTCCACAAAAAACTTATGGTCAGTGGTTGGCAAGCTGAGAGCAGTAGAAATGGCAGATGACTTTCCAAAATGAAGATAGGGGAGAAACAGGAACAAAAAAATATATCCAAGAACTAAAAAGGCAAAGCAGAGAAAAGCCATTTAGCATATCAGCAGGCAGTCGTGAGAAAAAAGGTTTGCTATTTTATGTCAACAACTGAATAATTATCATTAGGGCAGTTTAAAAGCATGACCAGCTCTTGAAGAAATAAAGGATGAGTAAAAAAATTTTCAGGACTTCCAAAGAAAATGATTTTGTTTTAAGTTCTGAGGTATTTTTAAAGAGATATAACCCTGGGAATACATCCTAAATGAACCCCTGCATGTAGCTTAGGAACATTTCAGAACACAAAGCCCTGAGAATAAATTTTGAGCAAACTGGCTGCCAAGATCTGAAGGAGACAGACACAGTAGCATAGCTACCATGCCTTGCACCTATCTTATCAGCTTGACTGAGAATTAAGGTCAGAGGCGTTCTGGAATGCTTTTCCTATCACTCGAGTAAACAAAGCTTCTGTCAGACACACAGATTCACACTCTCTCGTTCTGGACCCCTCATGACCCCTTCTTGGCTTGCCTGTTGCCTGCAGTCTGGGACCAGTTAGTCAACAAGGAAAATTATAGACAGATAATCCATACTCATGAGAAATAGACGGATGAATGAATTTATGAAACATTCCCGACAATGGTGCTGGTTTGTAAAGCTGCAATGTTCAATTCCTCCGATTTGAATACAAGTATGGATTCTACTATTTACAAATGAAATAGTCCTTGAGATTTCATGGAATAAAAAAAAAAGGCCAATCAAATTACCCACTGGTAGTGAATGTGCCAAGATAGATTTGAAAAATCAACTATATAAAGGAGGTTTCTAAAAAAAAAAAAAAAAAAAAAATCACCTTATATAGTAAGCCTTTACAGAAAGCTTTCTTTAAAAAATATTCAGACTAGAAGAAAAAAGTATAAAAGGAAAGGATACTCAGCCAGTACACACAAATATAACCCAACTAATGCTGAAAATTGGGAAACGTCTTCCTAAGATTGATAAATTGTTGCTGCTGCTAACCCTCTGAGTCAAGCCCTCCCTTGAACCAGCCTCCCAACTTTGATTCTTCTTCAATCTCCTCCTGATGCAGGAGCAGAAAGTTGAATCCATGGGAGGCAAGGGGCACTGGGATCTTGCTCAACCTTTTGGCAGTACACTTCAGGCACGGAGTCGGAACTGAACATCTGGGACCCCGGCCTTCCATGTTAAGTATTGTGGAGATTACCCCTTATGAGGAAAGAATAGGATTAATGATTTGTCAAAAGGATTAATGATATGGCAACATGGTTAAAGTCACAGGCTCTGAAAAACCCAGGCTTGCAACTCAGTTCTGCTCTGTCCTAAACAGCTGTTAAAATCCTAAACATTTTACGTAAATCTGAGCTTAGATGTATCACATGTTGAAAATAAAGGCACTTAATTTCAGATTAGTAGCAGCTAAAACACAGTCCAGTTGCTGGCATATCACAGTGATTCGAAACATGCTGATGCAGTCGCTAAGCGGTGGCCATTTGCAATGGTAACAGGGATTGTTCATACAACTACAGTGGTTCTATTTACCTGCTTTCTTTTATTTTGTGTTTTGCCAATGTTCTCTGAAGTGCAAGGTTCAGCCGCTCCAACTAAAAATTGAAAAGAAAGGTTTTAAACATCCCCTTGTTAAATAATAATTTACTTGAAGAGACAGATTTTAAAAATATGTCCTATAAGCTGCTTCTCAAGAAGAAACATGACTACTTTACTGATAAGCATGGTGAATTTATGTTTTGGAAACGGACACTAATTGTCTAGAAGTCTCTCAGATCTGGAAGAAACAATGAGTTCAGAAGAATCTGAGTTTGGCTGTGGCCTGTGGCTCACAGGCTTTGCCCACTGTGGGTGGTCTCGCTGACAGCCACAACACAAGGCCAAGTTGAACTGAAATCCAAACAGCAGACTCTGGTTTGGTGATGCCACGTCTTCCCTGTAGAAATTGTGGGCATCACTTCCTCTGGGTCAGGAAATTTTCTTGGATGTGCTGCCAATCCTTGAATCTCAATGTGGCTCCAGCCAAGCAAATTCCTGTTCTCTTCATAAACCCTACACACAGCCGCCCCACTGTCTTCCCGCCCTCAACTACAAATGCAAATGTGTTTCATATTTCATTTCCATGTCCTGGCCTAGAAAACGCTGCAGCTCTCTCTGTTTTTCCCCCTCCTCTAATCCCTTAAAATCTAAGCTTTCACCAAGGTCAGTTGATCATTGATTTGAAACAAATCTCGGATTTACCTTAACCTGTACTAAATTCCCTTCTTTGAACTAATAATTTTCATCAAATACTTTTACTCTCTTTGATTTCTGAGTATTTCATGATTTTCCCTATATTGCAAGTTATTTTTATGTAAGCCTCCATACTTTGTAAATACTTGACTATCAATTAATCTCTCTTAACAGCTTGTTTTCTCTAACTAGGTGGTAAGTGGCAAGTAGCACATTGGAGAGCAGCGCTGCCAATTTTTTTATTTTTTTTTTGCATTCCATATAAAAGCCATACATATCTATATGTGTATATATAATTGTTGATTCTTTCTGTAGTTTGCCCAGAGGAAAGTGAAAAATTTTCTGGTTATGTTCCAAGTTGGGAAATTCCTTTTTCCCTAAGAACTATTTATAGCTCTCTTAGAGTTTCCACTGGTCAAGTGAGGCAGCACAGTTAAGCAAAATAGAGCAAGCTTATGCTTCAATAAAATGAGTTATGAAAAGGACTTTCAGTTTTGAAGTGCATACAGAGCTTAGAAACAAATCTGGAATTTATTGAAAAAAAATACCAGAAATGATAATTTTGCATTGGATAAGCAATAGCACCTTTCCAGGTCCTTCGATTCCACTTTTCTGGAATGACACCCCCCCACTCTAAATGTGTTATGGATACTTGCCCCACCCCCCATCAAAAAAATGTCATGATTGTGGAGTTAAATCGGATTATCTAAAGCAAGAACTATAATGTGGTCAAATGCTGTTTTGAGTCTCTCCTTTGGGTTCCTGATATAACTGAAACGAAATAGTAGGCTAAGCATTAAATCTGTTCACTTAAAAAAGAATCAGTAAAATAAAAAAACTGCTCTATTTGATGCAAGACATGCTGACAGTGGGCCGGCTGATGGATTCACTGATCACCACACAGTCCAAACGCATTCACCACAGGGACATCCATTGTTATAAGGTAATGGGCCTCAGTTGTCAGAGTTCTAGTCGTGAATGCCAAAGGTACCTCTTTCACCCTCTAGAGTTCCTACAGCTTTGCCTTCCTTGCTACATGACATTACAGTCAAATTTTGATGTTCAGTCCTAGGAGTTCACAAACACAGATTATTCTCGAAAAAGAAAAAGAAAAACAGTAAAATATCATTTATATTTGGTATTCAGAATGTTTTTAAAAGAGATTCCACAATGTGTCTGAATTTTATGGCAGGAATTCAAAATATATCAAACAAAATAACGAAGCCAAGACGGTAACGACGGGACCCAAGGAAAGCATGGAAGCCCTCCAGCATTTCTATCATCACCATCTGTTCATCTCTGTGCATCTCACTCAGTTCTTGGAAATAAGAGTCCCAATCACTTCCTGGACTACGATGCCAACCAGCTCTCTGAGAAAGGCGACATTGCTCATCCCAGCCAAAACTGGCTGTCTAGTGACTTGGGCGGGGTGAGAATAATGAAATATTTCCATTTCAAAGGCCATTAACCGAGGTGCCATTGTGCTAATGTTATTTTTGAAGTAAGTTCCCTCAACTTTCTGCTGATTCTGCTTTCTCCGTCTTCAGGCTACAATGCCAGTCTCTTCTTTCACAGTCACTCTAGGCATACTGTGGACAGCAGTAATTGCTCTACCCCTTCAAAAGTTGGGTGGCTTTATTCAAGTTGCTTAACCTCCCTAATCCTTTCTGGAAGTGAGACAAGATCACTTCTGAAGTTCCAGTAAGTTCTAAAAGTCAGCAATCTGTTTCTTCAGTGCTCTACACAAAGCAGAGGGTTGGTGCTGGGTTAATTAAAAATTTTCAACGATTAGTATAGCTGGAGTCGGATTATATCAACATCCAATCTCCCATATGAAGTGAGTTTATGTAGAACTGCCAGAGGGAGAAAGACATCATGAGGATTTTTCAGCTGCTCTTCTCTTTAGACCTGCAGGGGAAAAGGAGCGCTCCTTACACTCCTCGATTCCTAAGATAGGTGACCTCATTAGATATTTGCCTTGTCCTCAAGGTTCTCTTATAGGTGGATTAACAGAAGGTGCTTCGGATCTTGAAGCGGCATTAGGCTACACAGCTCACCAGCGCTGTATCAAGAAGTGTCAAGGGTAATTGCAAGCACGCGGCCATGACTCTGACTCAAGGACTCTGCCTTGAAAAGAGACTTCTTCACACTCAGAGCCAGAGGAGGAAAGGGGAGATTTTCAGACCTCAACAAGTTGGCAGGGAACCTATGATGCTCTTTGGAATTAGGAGAGTAAGTTATTCTTCTAGGAAATTAATTTAAAAATAATAGCTAACAGCTATCAGGCACTTAAGGTATGGCAAGAGCTATGGCTTATTTCACTTCATGCTCATTAAAACTCTAGGGAGTAGGTACAATTATTACAACCATTTTATAGATAAGGAAACTGAGGGTAAGAGGGCATAAGCAGTTGCTCAAAGTCATAAAGCCCATCAGAGTGCAGGATCCTTTAGAGAAGAATTAAAAATCTTAAACATTTTAAGAGTAAACACAACTGAAGAATATGAATGCTCTGGGGCGCCTGGGTGGCTAGGTCGGTTAAGCGTCCTACTTTAGGTCAGGTCATGATTTTCCAGTTTGCAAGTTCGAGTCCCACATTGAGCTCTTTGCTGTCAGGACAGAGCCTGCTTTGGATCCTCTAAACTCCTCTCTCTCTCTGCCCCTCCCCCGTTCACTCTCACTTTCTCAAAAATAAATAAACTTTGAGGAAAAATATTTTTTTAAAAAAGAACATGTTTACTTTTAAGAAGTGTTTTTTGGATGCTTCTAGGAAATACTCTACATCTATTATTTGTAGCTTTGAAAGTGAGAAAGCAAATGTTTATATTTCCTTTAAAAAATGTTCTTTTACAATTTTCAAAATATCAGGAAAGTCTCAAAAGGGCAAACACTCACCTCTGGAAAAATCAGTTTGCAAATACTCTCTGCTAAAGTGTGAAGGTAGACTCGGCTCCTACTGGTCTTTCTTTGAGGAAGACTTCTCTGTACATTCTTCTCAGGAACATCCTGACAGATGGGCAGAGTTGCTTTGCCACACTCTGAGCTTCCTGCTACCTCTTCTGCAGGCTCTTTGGGAGCCTGCCCCGGCGCCAGTAAGGACAAAGGGCACTCCCCTGTGATCTTGAGATCCTTCAGCTTCGTGCAGAACATGGCGCTGGAAGCCTCTCGCCCTGCTGCGGATGGCCTCCCGGTGAGCCGTTCTTCTCACGTGGGACTGGCGAACAGAAGCCACTGTCAGATCAAGGGTACTGGCAACTGGGGTGTCTAGGGGCAGTGGAAAGTCAGAACAGAAAGAAAAGTGATTTTGTATACTTGTGAGAACAGAAAAAGACAGGTGTGAGGAAAGAAAAGACCATACATCCACAGGCCATTTTCAAGTAAAAAGAAAATTCTGGTGGACATGTCAGTTACAATATAGATGAGACATTTGGTAAAGATCTTAATATGTATGCATTTTAGTGTACTACATTCTTGGTTTTTGTATTTTTCAAATGGAATATAATTTTCTCCAAAATGTCCCTACTGCAAACTACTGATTTCCATTTTTATAGATAGCTTCTTTCGTTAAGTTTGATTTCACAAGAGTGGAACTTTATGGTTTTGTGACAGAAGCCAAGTATAAATCTGTGTCTTAGCGCTAAGTCCTACTACATTCTCATTATGCTTTCCTTCCTGAAATATCAGAATGGCAGAAACCAGTGTCTCCAATACTTAAAGAAGAAAAAAATGTAATGATGCTCAAATATATGTTTTTCAGCTGTAATACTGAGTTTTAGATGAAAACAAAATTAATTGAGGGGCGCCTGGGTGGCTCACTGGATTAAGCGTCCAACTTCAGCCCATGGTTCAGGAGTTCGAGCCCTGCATCAGGCTCTGTGCTGACAGCTCAGAGCCTGGAGCCTCCTTCAGATTCTGTGTCTCCCTCTGTTTCTGGCCCTCCCCTCTTCTGCTCTGTCTCTCTCTCTCTGACACTCAAAAATAAATAAACATAAAAAAAAAGAAAACAAAATTAATTGAAATGATTACTGCAAAAGAAGATGCCTGTTTCTATAAGTAGCAAAATAACTTAAAAATATTATCAAAATATAAAAAAAAAATAATATTTTTTCAAAGAACTCCTGATCCCTAAGCACATGCCACTGGATTTGCAGGGGTCTCTGGATCCAAATCTAGAGGACACTGGAGTAAACCAAGAAGGCCTCTCCTCTCAGAGGCCCACTGAAATCATATATATATATATGGCTATTCTGGCATATTTCCTTTGCATTTTTGTTTTTGCTGATGTCGTACCTGCAAATCCCCCCACCCACAGTTCACAAGTTGTCGCTGAAACTGTCTGGTTGTGAATTCAGTTTGTCAGCAGTGCTAACCATCTTTATTAACTGGGCCCACCAACTCTATTCATTCTTTGAATATCAAAAACACGAAAAGAGTGCAAAAGAGCCCAAGCTTCCTTACTTCCTACCATGTGCCTGGCACAGTGCTGCAGACTCTGTATTTGCAGGTAAGCCTCACAGGACCTGATCAATCGGTCCTCACAGCAACCATATGACAATCCTCGATGTTCCAGAGGCTCAAAAGTTTAGGTTATTTTCTTTCATTTGATGTACTAGAGAGTGACAGAGCCGGGGTTCACATGTAGGTCCATCTGATGCCAGAGCCAATGTGTTTTCTATTTAAGCACAACTCCGAGACCAGTTTCTAAATCATCAGGCTTAGTTCATAAGGTAGGAGTAAAGATGTGGTTTACAAGTTTATATTTAAAAGCAAACAAAAATATAATTCTCCTGCTCGTTGGCTGGTAGTAGTTTAATCATTCAGGATAAAACCTCATATTTCAGTCTTTAGAACTGGAGTTCAATTATTTTTTTCTTTTCTGTGTGCCTTAATGCTCTTAATATGTTCTTCATGTACACAAGCAACAACTTGTAATTTGTCACAGATATGTTCTCTAATAAGTTTAGAACAATGGACAATTCATTTTCTGAACTGGGACAAACAAGGAAGCTAAATTCCCCACGTGACAGCCCTCGGGTGTGTCATGAGTTATTAGGTATGGGTGAAGATTACTGATGCTGACAGGCCAGAAGAAGTGGGTGCTACTCTCTGCTACTTAAAGTCCTCCCACAAATCTGTGACCACATGTAATTTATGAATTTTCAAGAAGACACAGGAAGATCCTATATATTCACACGCAGAAACCATTTCCTGCCAGAATAAAATAAGGAGCTGTCTCAGAAGGCTACGGAGTGACCCAAAGGTAATTTGGTGATAGAGAGAATGGTTATTTTGGTTTTGAAAGACCAAGGCTCTCAACCACACTTATGTGGATTCAGTGCCACAAATACATGTTTTTCAGTCTTTAATGCATCTGAACATAACTCTTACTATTCACTAACTCTTGTCCTCATACATGCTTCCCATCAGTGGACAGCAAACTTTTCTGTGAAGGGCCAGAGAGTAGATAACGTCAACTTTGCAAGTTTCTGTCAGTGACTTAACTCCTGCCATTACATCATGAATGCAACCATAGCTGATATACAAGGAATGGTATGGATGTGTTCCAATAAAACTTTATTTGCAAAAACAGGCTGTGGATTTGGGCCTCAGAATGGCCCTATTGATTTGGATCAGGCCATAGCTTGCTGACCCCTGGTTGCAAAAACTGAGCACAGTAACTGAAGTACTGTAATCCAAATAAAATTTTGACTATAGGACCAGAGTCACTTCTGCATCTCCTCTACCTACTCCACGCCCAAAATATAGCATCCCATGTGAATCTAGTTTTGTATAATCGGTATGTAAAAAAGACAGTGTAGTAGATACTATTAAATAACAATAAAAATTATAATACCATTACTTTATGTTAATTTTAAGGAAGAAGAGCTGTATTAACTGAATGCCATGATTTTAGTCATATAAAAAAGATAACTACAATAACTAGAAGAGAGTAATTTAAAAAAAAGAAAGCAAAAAAGATTGAAGATTTTAGATTGGATATGATGAAGGTATAGAACTGCCCTCTAAAATAAGTTATTTTGGTACATATTAGAATTTTTGTTTGGGATTTAGGAGTTTGACACAATACAATTTATGATAAAGTCTCCCATTAAGTTTTTTTTAAATGTTTTTCTTTTATTTTTGAGGAGGGGGAAGAGGGAGGGGGACAGAGGATCCAAAGTGGGTTCTGTGCTGACAGCAGGGAGCCTGATGTGGGGCTCGAACTCAGGAAACGAGAGATCATGACCTGAGCTGATGTCGTATGCTTAACCAACTAAGCCACTCAGGCGCCCTGAAGTCTCCCATTAAGTTTAACCTTCTCATCAATGTTGAATTTCAACACTTGTCCCTAAACCCAATATTTTGACACTCAGTTTGCTATTAAATCTTGTTGCAGAAGGATAAAACTGACCAGTCAACCTTGAAGTTCTTTCTTCTCCTATATTGCACACCACTATAATTTCCAGAGAATATGTCTAACGCTGTTTTTTATTAAGTAAAAACAGCAACAGGAAACAAGTTGTGCTTCCTTTAAGTTCCGTTAAGTGTTTAGTCTCATTAAAGCACATATGTATAAACAAACTAATTAGCATTCTTCATCTGTTCAACCGATGAAATTACATTATGAAACAGATGCTCTCAGTGCTGATACCTTGGAAACCTATGTTTGTCTTGTGTTTGCTTGCTAGGAATACAGAATATGTTCTTCAACTAAGCAAGTGGTGATTTTTATGTGTAACATTAGCAGGGACTTTGGAAATGGTTTGGTCAATGGCTGAACTCAGTCCATAGCTGGTTGCAAAAATGAGAGTAACACAATAAGGGAAAAACAAATTAATTAAAGTAATAAGCTTAGTGACAAGGCCTTGGCAAGCAGTGGGATATATGTTCTCAGAAACTCAGAGACGTTATTTGGTATCCCCAACGTTAATGATTAAACAGCCTCCAAATATATTGAATGTTCTCTCCCTCTACCTAGTAAGTGATTAACTCTTCTATGGGGAGAAAAGGGACCCAGCTCTTGGCCTCGTATTCAAAACCAGGATGCATTATTGTTCAGGTAAGGGGCCTGTCCATCATTTAAACTCCAGAGTTATGCGGAAGAATCTGTTTTCTCCATATGAAGGACCCAAGGGAAAACACTCAGAGTAAGGGCTCTGACACAGAAAGCCTCTTTTGCAGCAGCATAAACAGAATAGCAGGTCGTAAAGAGCACATTTCAAATTAGAAACTTTGGAAGGGAGAGCCTAAGATGAAGTCTCCTCAGCAAAAGCTGACAGTTACATCCAGTGTCCAATATCAGGCCTAGCATGCCCAAATCTGGGGTTAAAGAGATAGAAGTGTTTTAAGATCAAACTCCAAAGTCCAAATTTTTAAGTGCAGCTGAAAGGAGAAGAGAGGTTCGAAACACAAAGTGCGTTGGTAAAGATAAAGTCTGCATACAACAGCACAAACGAATCACGATGTTCATAAACTGATGTCAAGGATACAGCTTAATTTGCAGATAGACTGAAAAATCTACAAAGCTTTTGTTCTTCAAAAATTGAAAAAAACTTAAATAAAACTCCATAAATCGGACTTTTAAGATGTTTCTTTTCATTTTGCAGTAAGAAATATTTATAGGACATTCCTGTGTGATATATCAGGAAAGCAGGACAAAGTACTAGAAAAACTGGTTGAGAACGTCCAAGTCACTCCAGTATTAAGTTTAAAAACAACAAAAAAAAAAGCAAGCAATTTCAGACCCCCTTATCTCACAATGCCTCCTTAGCTTCACCATTATCTCTGCTCCTCGTTATGGTCGCACTTGAAAGATCGGGCCTTATATGCTGTGCTCACTTCCTTCAACAATAGTTATTCCTAAGTCTACACCTCCCTGGCCTTTGCTTCCACTGTATTACTGACACGCACCTCGCTCAGTTCAATGATGACCTCTGAGAAGTTAAAGCTCATGAGGTTTTTGGCCTTTAACATACTTGATGAGTTCTCCAATGCTATTTGCATTTTCTTTTTTTATAATCTCCACTCCCGCGGATTCTTTGATACACTGGATTTCCTTCTACTTCATTCACTTTTCATTCTATTCAACAAGTATTTACGGATAGCTTACTGTGTGTCATGAATTCTTCCAGACGCAGGGACAGAGCAGTGAATAAAGGACATTGCCTGCCCCTGTGGAGTCTACAATCCGGCAGGAGAACCATTTCTGACAACATCAGTTAGACTTGTGATGTGTGCTATAGAAAGGGGAAGCACATAGCGCTCTAAGAATGCATATCAGGGATCCAAACCCAGTCCCAGGAGGAAGAGACATCTGAGCTATGACCCTGAAGCAGGTGAAGAGAGTTCCAGAAAGAACAGCATTCTTGGAGGCGGAGATAGACCAGTTCCTAAAAGAATTCCAGAATGGCTAGAGCATGGGATCAGGGAGAGCAGGGTGATGGTGGAGGGGGCTGAGACAGGGAGAGGTCACGATTTTGGAGGGCTCTCTAAATCTTGTTGAACAAAGGAAAACTCTATTCTGAGGGCAACCAACTGAAAGTCTAAGAAGTAAGGATGTGACTATATTATACTATATTTTTAAAAGATTATCTGGAATGGAGAATGAGAAATATGGTAGAGTTGGACAGGTGGCTGATCTGGGTTGGACTAAAATAGTGACCCTGAAGATGAAAAATTTGATCAATTCCAGAAGTATTTCAGACAGAAAATCTATAGCCCTTGGCTACTGACTGGATATGGGGGCTGAAGGACAGGGAGGACAAACTCCTCTGACCTTACTTCTCATTACCACAGCCAAGAAAAGACTCTAGGTCCCATGGAGAGCAATCAAGAGTCCATAATCCATTTCTCACAACATTGGTTATTCAATCATAACTGAGCCCAGATTTTGGGTTCTCACTATTATATAACACCCTGTGGGAGTCAGAATGCTCCAACACTCTTGCTAAAATCTCTTTTTGGAAAGTAATTTCTCCTGCTTCAAAAGCCCAGACGTGGGAAAGCCGACTCTAGTTTATGTTACAGAAGAGAGTGTTCACCTTCCACGACTGCATTTGCGTGCAAGCGTAGGGTGCATCTTCTATCTTAACGAAGAGTGGGAGGTACTTACCTTGAATTTTTGTAACTAGAAAGCTCATACTACTAACCTTCCCACAACAAAGAAGTCAACTCTAGTGCTCACTTCAGTAGCACAAACACAAAGAAAGCAACTCTAAAGGTAATGGCAACAGCAGTTCTAGGGGCCAAAATGTCAGAAATTCCCCCTCACCTGATGGCAACTACCTCATCAAAGCCACAGGACCGATTCAAATTATGATGAATAACAATTATAATAATGAATACTGATAATTACAGTTTACCAAGCAGTATTAATTCTTTATTAAGAATAATGGGGGTGCGACTCACAATCTTTTTTCATTGGAATCGGGGGCAATTCTCCGACATCTTTGAAGTGATAGCAGAATTTAGTATACTCTAGTAGGGAGATTTTAACTCTGAGAATTTGCAGTATGGGGCTCTCAGTTTTTATATCAAAATGTTTACAGAATATTTTATAACTATAGAGCAAACCTCTGGGACTGTAAATCCCAAATCTCTATTTTTAAAATACTCCAGTGTGATTATCACCAAAATCTGAATATACATAGTTAGTATATCTTCAATATCATTACTGCTGATGATGAAAGTCATGTAGGCCATGAAGAAATCAGATAAACATTTCAATATTTTGTTCCTGAGATATATAAAACAATTTCCTGCAGCTATTTCTGTAATTGCCATCATAGCTTTTTTTTTTTTTTAAACTAAAATAGTTCCTTAGAGACTTGGACATTTAAAAATATATTTACTGAAAATATAATAATTATTATTAAAGGAGTGAAATGAAAAATGGAATCCCTTCTTACCCCATAAGAAGCCAATTTGTTTGTTATCTGTTTTCAGATAAACACTGTGTATTTCTGTGATGTGAACCGGTTCAGATGTAGTCATAAAGAGATGAACAACGTGGGGATAGAGGAGCAGTCACGCTGGGTCTCCATCACCCCATGCTCTTCGTCCTAGCTCCATCTGACCAAGTGTGCTGCCTCCAAAGTACTTATTACAGCTGTCCTCTATTTTCCCTCCTGTTTCTGATGCTCAGCGGGCTCAGCACTTTCTTATAGCCCCTTCCCATCAAACTACTTTCACCTTTTCCCCTAATGTCAGGCTTATAGCTGCTGTCGTGCAGGATTCCTCAGAATTCAACTGGTCTCCTTAACAAGCTTATATAGGTTTTATGACTGTGATCGCTTTTGTTGGTGCTCAGAGCAGCATCTGGTTTTTACCCTAACACATTTTCTTCCCACAAGTCCGTTTATTTTTAGTGTAGTTCTGCAGCACATGAGGTTTTTCAGGAACATATATAACGTGTTGTTTCAGAAATGCCTGTGCTCTCAACAGTGTCTGAGTTAAGTTTGCAAGTAAGGTGGAAAGTGGACATAACTGCTTGGAAGAAACCCAATAAGGCCACATTCTTAAAGACTCTACAGATTCCACTATGATTTAGGTACTACAACTTGATGAAACTTTTAAACTTTTTTTAAAATGTTTTATTTATTTCTGAGAAAGACAGCATGAACAGGGGAGGGTCAGAGAGAGAGGGAGACACAGAACCGGAAACAGGCTCCAGGCTCTGAGCTAGCTGTCAGCACAGAGCCTGATGCGGGACTCATACCCACGAACGGTGAGATCATGACCCGAGCCAAAGTCGGACGCTTAACCAACTGAGCCACCCAGGCGCCCCACTGATGAAACTTTTAAAATGAAAACAAGACCAGGGTGATTAAAACAATTGGGCTGATTGATACATTTTATTTCAGTAGCATAATGAAACTCCTGACTCTAACATCATTACTTCTCTATTTTCTTTTCTTTTTAATTTGGATCAGACAGGAAGACCTGGAAGCACATATTCGACTTCATACACCTGCATACATACACAAGGACACTTACTTTCCCTCTCATGCAATGGTTGTTTTTTTCTATCCAAGTACTAACCAGGCCCGAACCTACTTAGCTTCTGAGATCAGGCCAGATTGGACACATTCAGGGTGGTATAGTGGTAGACACAATGGTGTTTTTTTTGTTTTTTGTTTTTTTTACCATCTGAGGCTATATATATTTACATCATTATCTTTATCTCTGAAGATGATTAGTATGAGACAGACTTTGTGATTGGAAAGATCAGTTCACACAAATGTTGGTGCCATGCATAGGTGGGGTTAGTGCAGCAGTGATGAGCTCAGGCTCTAGGACCAAGGACCAGACGGTCTGTGTCTGCTCCTTGCCTCTATCATCTACTAGCTCTGGGACTTTAGTTAAAATTCTTAACTTCATTTCAACTTTTTCCATCTGGAAAACAGGGATGCTAACAGCCACTATCTCATAAATGTGTTGTGCAAGTAAACAAATGGATAAGAGTAACAGGCTTGGAGTAAGTACCTGAACCCAACGTGTGCTGATTAATGTTGATGATCACAACTGCTATTTAGCAGCAGTGCAACAGTGGACAGGTTTCTTAACTTCACCAAGCTTCTGTTACCACAACTGTAAATGGTAAAAAAAAAAAAGTGATTAAACAGGGATATAGGAAGGATTAGAACAAAATCTATGCAAAGGCATTGTACAAGAGAATCATGTTGGGGTGCTGGGGTGGCTCAGTCGGTTAAGTGTCCAACTTTGGCTCAGGTCATGATCTCACAGTTTGTGGGTTGGAGCCCCATGTTGGGCTCCGTGCTGACAGCTAGCTCAGAGCTTGGGGCCTGTTTCAGATTCTGTGTCTCCCTCTCTCTCTGGCCTTCCCCTGTTCTCTCTGTCTCTCTCTCTCTCAGAAAAAAAATAAATAAAAAAAAAAAAGAGAATCATGTTAAAGGAAGTCACTAAATAAAAGATTGACAAATGTGTTCTATTTTCTCAGAAAGATCCAGTAATGTTTTATACCTATGACACCTTTCCTATAACTTTTCAAAACCAGTTTCAGGAAACTAATATAATAGCAGGTACTTGGGGCTCTACAAATTTGGAAAACATTCTCCACTTGAAATACATTAATGTATACCGGGAAAATAACATCTATGTTAATGCTTAGGGTTTCTTTTATTGAATTACAAAATAATAGATTTTACAGCACAGCCCAGACTAGTAAGATTCTAATTTGGTTTTATCTTATATAATTCCATTAGCTAATAAGTTGCATGTCAAATTTCTTTAATATAATATTAGAATAAAAATTGAGGGACTATGTTAGATTTTAAATCTCTTTTTCCACTCATGAAACCAAACCTGTTATATAAATCAAGCAAGTCTTAGATCATTGGAGTACATGCTATTTTCCATAAATTGACATTATTTCCAACTTGGAAACATTTTTAAGCAAAATAAACCCATAACAACCAAGCTGAAACAGAAATTCTGTGGTATCTGATTTTCTTTTCCTAGAATGTTAGACTGACAAATGATTAGTATTGTTACACACTCTTGCCTACCGATCATGGGTTTTATAAGCCAACTATTCTCAATATCAATTCAGTGTTAACTCTTTTATGTGCTTATCTTCTCAATATTTACTTATCTTGTAGAAAGGTTGAAGAGATGGGCAAGAAGAGATAAAACACTAACCAGCAATGTTAATTTTAGGGTATTTGGGAGATCTATGTGGTCACCCAAAGTCTGATTAAAATAGGAGATGCCAGGATTTCTAGCCAGAGTAAATAAAGTGGATTCTGGTTTTGACTGTCATACTTGTGCAGCATTTGAATTAACATTTTAACAATGAGGAGATATCAAAAGTGGCCTCATCCTTGAAAGGAAGAAGGGAGTAACCCGACCAGCACAGAATTCACCTATGGTAGACGAAAGTGCAATTATCTGGGCTTTAACCTGTCATATTTGAAAAGAAGATTATGGAAGAAGACACAATAGTAACCCTCATGATTCTTCTAATCCAGCCCTTAAAACTTTTCTCAATATCCTTGAGAAAAAGGGCCACACATTAATAAAGCCATGAAAACATAGCACTTTTCCCTCAACAAGGAGAGGAAACATAAGGAGAACAGTAACAGATATACCAATAGTGAAGGCTTAGGCAGTGAAGGAGATGCTTGTACTGGACCAGGGCTGGCAAGGGCAGATAAACCAAACCACCACTCAGGAACATCCTGGACCCTTCGGACCCTTTAAAGCAGAGGCTGGCCTGTGATCCAAATCCAACCTGCTGCCTGTTCTTGTCCAGCCGTAGAGCTATGAATGGTCTTTATGTTACTAAACGTTTGAAGAAATCAAAAGAATATTTCATGATACACGAACATTATATGAGAATCAAATTTCAGTGTCCATAAATAAAGTTTCACTGGAATACAGCCGTGCTATGACAGAATAAGAAATATATATTTGGTTTCTGCCTGTTGTTTCCTGGCCACAACTACTAAAACCCAAGGAATCTCCAAAGTGATAAGGCTCCTTGGATAGCTTCAGGATGGGGCCTGGTTGCCAGGGGAACCAACCATGTGATTAAAGGGTTGGAACCCTCCATCCCACCCTGGTATCTGGAGAGAGGATGCTGTCCGAAGATTTAATTAATCACTAACAGTCAATGATTTTGTCAATCATGCTTACCTAATGAAGTCTCCATAAAAAGTCCTAACCAACGGGGTTTTGGTGAGCATCTAAGATGGTGAATGCATGGAGATGCTAGGTGGGGCACACGCCTGGGGAGGGGATGAAGTGGTTGTATTTTGAAAAAGACCTCCCTCTTCTACAATTCACTCAGAACTCCCACCCTGGAGACCCCAAGAAAGAGGTTTCTCTGGAAGCTCCTGGGGACACGATGGGGGGTGGGGGGTGAAAGAGGGTAGGTCAAGGGCCTTCTTGAGTGCTCAATTCAACAGCAGAGCTCTTCTCATTCTGGAGAGAGAAAATGACCTTCTGTCACCAACAGTGGGATACAGATCCTGGATGCTCATGCTGGAACCAGGCCAGCAAAAGAAATGCAGCAAAGCGCAAACTCAGTCCTTCTGAACTTTTACATAATGACTATTAAATTAAAAGAAATCATTACCAGAGCAAATTCGGGCATCTGAACATGTCTTTTGCAGGTCTATATTTGGATACTCACAAAGTTGTATATTGAGGGAGGCTGGGTTCTTTCCCATTAAACGAAAAACCACAACCATATTATTTTCCTGCCTTTTTACATCTAATTGAGTCAAAACTGGAAATGTTAAAAGAAACTTTCCTGTTCATAGGAGAATGCAAGCAACTTTTCTTCTCTATTTCAGTACCTCTCACATAAAAGTAAACATAAAAACACAGGCATTTACATAACAGAAGTTTAGAACTAGAAACGATGCTGGAGACTATGTATTATAATACTTCCTACTTGAAGATGACAGAAGTCAGGTATCAGTGACTTGGCTCATACCCCAAAATTGTTGAGGTATGGAGGTTACACAGGAACGCAAGCAGACGGACTACAAGTCCAGAGTTCACCCCAATATACAGTTGACCTTTGAACAGTATGACTTTGACCTGCACTGGTCCATTTAAACACAGGTTTCTTTTTCTCAATAAACACACTACAGTACTGTCCATTTATTTTCTCTTATGATTTTCTTAATAACGTGTTCTTTTCTCTAACTTACTTTATTGTAAAATAACAGTATATAATACATATGAGGCAAAATATGTATTAATATACTTTAAATGCTATTGGTAAGGCTTCATGTCAACAGTATGCTATTAGCTAAGTTTTGGAGGTCAAAGGTCATGTGGATTTTCAACTGTGCAAGGGTCAGTGCCCTTACCCCTACACTGTTCAAGGATCAACTATACTTTGATCATCGCTTCAACTGAAATGCAGAGAACCTCTCCTCCTTTTGTGGACCTCAACAACTGCAGGGACTGCAGGTTTACATTTCACCTACACAGCACACCATTAATAATAAGACTAACTAATTAGTACTGACATATACCATAAGATTGCTTTCGCTGTCATTTCTACAATATTTCCCCAGACTTTTTTTCATGATTTTGTCATCACTTTTTGCACTTTCTCAAGATGCTACCTTTAGTCTTTTCTCAATTCTCTGAAAATATATTTTTTTTAATTTTTAATGTTTATTTTTGAGAGAGAGACAGAGTGTGAGGGGCAGAGAGAGAGGGAGACACAGAATGGGAAGCAGGCTCCAGGCTCTGAGCTGTCAGCACAGGGCCCGACATGAGGCTGGAGCTCATGAACTGTGAGATCTTGACCTGAGCCAAAGTCAGTTGCTTAACGGACTGCACCACCCAGGTGCCCCATGAAAATATTTTCTAAAGAACCTTACTCATGATCCATTTTTTGCCATTTAATTGAAAGTAGGTGTGTTTCTAGACTTAATCTAACTAACTAATGCACATCGCAATGTATTCAACTTTGAACTTCCAATGAATTATTTTTATGCTGTAATTGAAGGGCAGAATGACTGGCTTAAAGTCATCTGTTACAGGCATGGAATGGGCTAAATAGCTTAAATCCTTATTATCAAATTCAATCTTTTCTTTTGATTTTTAATGGATCTTTTGTGTGTGCAAATACAAATACATATATGTAAATGGCATACAACCTGAGAAGAAAAATGTTTCAAAAAAGTCCTATAGATTTCCCTTTTCTATTTTATTATTCTGTGTTCACTATCTTATTTATTTTTATTATTTTATTTCTTTTCTTTCCTTTTTTCTTATATTGTTTACCTTTTTTGGAAGGGGAAAATCTTGTTATTAAATGGAAATATATGAAGTTTACTAAAGGGTGCCAAAGGACCCTATGATGCTTAGATAATTGTCTATGCTCTTTTTACACTTCTTTGTTAAATTAGGTAATTAAAAAAAACATACATGTGTCCAATACCTCACAGCTTTATCAGAAGCACCGAGCACAGTATCATGCATTATTTGGTATTCAATAACTATGAACTCATATCAATAAAATAGACTAATATTAGGCTATTAATTATAAGCAATATAAAAGATAAAACACAGACAAGAAAGTATAAAATAGAAGTAAAATAAAGATAAATTGGAACACATAAAATGTGCTGCTTCTTGAAAACGAGTTTTATGAGCTATTAATAGATCAACTTACAATTCAATCAATATTTACTGAGTTTCTAAAAGAGATAAAACTATTTTTTTCAAAGTTTAATATGGGTGATATACATTTTCTAAAATGACTATAGTAAAAAGTGGAGAATACGTAGAGATAGAATATCAGTGATGTTTATAAAAAACATTGCTTTTCGGCAGTGGCAGCAAAAAGGTGATCAGGGAAAGCTTCTTGGAATGCATGCAATTTGAGCCTAGTTTTGAAAATGACTAGGGGCGCCTGGGAGGCTTAGTTGGTTAAGCGTCCGACTTTCGCTTAGGTCACGATCTCAAGGTTCGTGGGTTCGAGCCCCGCATCGGGCTCTGTGCTGACTGCCAGCTCAGAGCCTGGAGCCTGTTTCAGAGTCTGTGACTCCCTC